GCTGAACATGTGAGAGAAGAGGAAGTTTTTTTTTTGGAAAATGGAAAGAAAAAAAGACAGAATCGGAAATAAAGCGCAGAAATTTTCTAAGGCGAATAACGAGGAAAGAGGGCTCGGAAAATTTATCACTCACTGGACATATTGAAGGCAAGAAGGACAGAACAAAGCTGCGAACAACCTATGTAACGGCATGTGTAAATGGTTGGAAGAACAGGGATTAGGAGAGATAACAAAAAGATAAACATCACTAATAGCTACAAGAGAGAGGAAGTTGTAGAGACCCATGTCCTGGGGGGGACACGTCACATAGAAGAAGAGCCCGCGAACATACTGATATTTCTTGATGCGTGAAGGTAATCTATTGCATACTTGTATAAATCTGAGTCTGTTCATATCTATCTATCTATCCTAGTCTGTCCGTATATATCTATCTATCTATCCTAGTCTGTTCATATCTATCTATCTATCCTAGTCTGTTCGTATCTATCTATCCTAGTCTGTTCATATCTATCTATCTATCCTAGTCTGTTCGTATCTATCTATCCTACTCTGTTCGTATCTATCTATCCTAGTCTGTTCATATCTATCTATCTATCTATCTATCTATCTATCTATCTATCTATCTATCTTGATCTGTTCGTATCTATCTATCCTAGTCTGTTCATATCTATCTATCCTAGTCTGTTCATATCTATCTATCTATCTATCTATCTATCTATCTATCTATCTATCTATCTATCTATCTTGATCTGTTCGTATCTATCTATCCTAGTCTGTTCATATCTATCTATCCTAGTCTGTTCATATCTATCTATCTATCTATCTATCTATCTATCTATCTATCTTGATCTGTTCGTATCTATCTATCCTAGTCTGTTCGTATCTATCTATCCTAGTCTGTTCATATCTATCTATCTATCTATCTATCTATCTATCTATCTATCTATCTACGTTGTTGAGAAGTGTGTGCATACTTAATCGTGCTTGTATGTGTTTGTGTATAACAATGGATAGATTTACTTTTTCACATGTGTTTGTGCTATTCGGGTGGTCGAAACATATAGAAACTGCGTGCGTGCGTCGCGCGGACTCGTGTGTGTATGTGTGTTTGTGCGTGCCTGTGCGCGTAAGAGAGAAAGAGAGGGGGAGAAGAAAAGAGAGTGAGATAAAACTGAAAAAGAGTGGGGGAAACGGGGAGAGAGAAAGAGGAGTTAGGAAAGAAAGAAAAAGAGACACGAGATACGAGATACGAGAGAGAGAGAGAGAGAGAGAGAGAGAGAGAGAGAGAGAGAGAGGGAGAGGAAAAGCGACCGGAAAAGAAATGAGGAAAAGAGAGAGAAAAGAAAAAATGAGTGAAAGTGGAAGGGAGAGTTATTTGAGGGAAAAATGCAGAAAGATAAGGTAGAGGGAGAAAATAGTATGAAAGTAAGAAAGTGGGGACCGAAAGGGGAGAAATAATGAGAGGACGGGGAGAAAAGTAGATGGGGGGAAGAGAGAAGAAGAAGAAGAAGAAGAAGAAGAAGAAGAAGAAGAAGAAGAAGAAGAAAAAGATAGAGGAAAATACGGAAAGACATAGAGAAGGATGGAGTAAGAGAGAGAGAATAATCGTGAAATAGATAGATAGATAGATAGATAGATAGATAGATAGATAGATAGATAGATAGATAGATAGATAGATAGTCAAAAGACAATAAAATGCAAGACGAAGAAAAATGAGAAATTTTGAGAGAAAATGATAGAAATGATGGCGAGAAAGAAACGAGTAGAGAGAGAGAGAAGAAGAAAGAGAAGGGGGGAGAGAGAGAAGGGGAGAGAGAGAAGGGGAGAGAGAGAAAGGGAAATATAGGGAAATACATAGAGACGAAGATGGAAAAGAGAGACGGATGAGGACATAGAAAGAGAAAGAAAAATAACGAAAGGGATAGAAAGAAAGAGACACTATGAAAGAGAGAGAGAGAGAGAAAGAGAGAGAAGGGGAGAGATAGCGAGAAAGAGAAATAGAGGGAAATACATAGAGACGAAGATGGAAAAGAGAGACGGATGAGGACGTAGAAAGAGAGAGAAAGGTAACGAAAGCGATATAAAGAAAGAGACAGTATGAGAAAGAGAAAGAGTCAATACGAGAGAGAGAGAGAGAGAGAGAGACTGATAGAGATAGATAGATAGATAGATAGAGAGAGAGAGAGAGAGAGAGAGAGATAGAGAGAGAGAGAGAGAGAGACTACGTGTGTACGTGTATTTTGTACTCTCCACAACGCCATCCAACCGACCGACCGACCGACCACGTACCCCCTCTCGTCCATTCCAATGTGGATTTGTGTGGGTGTCTGCTTGTTTGTCTCTTGATTACAGTTCTAACCTATCACTATTTATAACTGCAAAGGAATCGACAATACACAACAAGGTAGCCATCCATGTGTTACCTTTCTGTTCGTTTCGAATATATGACTGATCCATCACCGCTGCGGTCGAAGCATATCTTTCCGCGACACTTTCCCAT